TGATGACACCATGACCGTGTTGCAAAATTTACTCGATCTTACTCCAGGGTAAGGGTTTTGTACCCTGGCTTTCTAAAACCTACCCGCATCTAGTGTTTTTCAATCTTTGTTGTCACGTGACACGACCCTCTGGAGTAACTCGGATTCATTTAGGTAAGATTTGGAACACAGCACATCTCATCCAACACTACGGCTTTGTTATTTAGGAGGTGTTGCGCCGCGGTGCGGTGGAATGCGGGTGCAGTGACGTCACTAGCGAGGGTCAGCGGCACGCGTGGAGGTAGCTTGCGGCAACCTCTCCAACCCCCTTTCTTATGGCCCTCCGCGACGCGCGACTCCCCCCCCCCCCCCCCCCCCCCCCCCCCGCCCCTTCCCCATTTCACTACTCAGCTGCACCCCCCTGAGCGCTGCACTAAAAATTGTGCCTACCCCCCCCCCCCCCTGCCCGCCCTTGTGGCGCCACTGTGCACCAGTTCCCGCTATTCCGACGCCGGTTGTTCTTCGCTTTCGGTTCTCGTAGTAGCGGTGCGTGAGCTGTGATTTGTGTGTTTGTAGATAAAACGATGGATGCGGTTCCCTCCATAAGTGATATGGATGTGGTTTCTTCCACGAGTGGTATTCAGTGGTTCTTTCCACGAGTGATATGGATGACTTTATCCAGGGGCGTCGACATACTCTGACAGGCAGTGCACAGAAAAGGGGTGAAAAAATTACAGGAAGGTCCATTGGTGAATTCTCAGGAAATTCGTTACCATGACGCTTGGGAAACGCCACAAGCGACCAGTGTTGCCAGATTGGGCTATATATAGCCAAATTGGGCTACATTTTTTTCTAGTTGGCTTCGAAATTTTGTTGTTGGCTATGTGGCTATTTTGGGCTATTTCTAAGGATACTGCGAACTTTTGTCGAAACCTCAGGTTCGACGTCGAACTCTGAATTTCGACTAGTTATTTTCGAACTCCTTATCGGCTTCAAAGAAAATTGTTCCTCTTTTGTCCACTCCAGAGGAGAGAGAGAAAGGAAAAATTGATTTCAATCTTCAACGAACTTCGGGGTTCTCACAATGCGCAGAGAAGCAATCCTTGCAGAGTTCAAGCGGTCCGCCCACAGCGAAGTGGAGCAAACCAAACAAATTGCACTATAACCACAGGACCGGTAGCGCGTCTTCTACCCGAACATAGACTGAACTCTCCAAGCGCTGCTTTGGTGCCCATATTTGAGAATCCTTAGGCACCCAAGTTCCTAAGAATGAGAAGTCCGCAGGTTACTGTATGATCATATCTCCCGGACTTCGCAATTGTGTTCTGTATTTCTGAAAACCTACAAAGGAAGGGTCAGTGCTGCACGGATTTTTATTTTTCCGAAACCTATTTTTGAAAAATTCACAACGGACATAATGTACACAAAATGTGGCGCATCTGAGGTTGGAAAAAAAGAATGTAACGTGTTTTGTATGTGTGTGAAATTGCCAATAAAAAGCTTTAAAATAATTGTTTTTAGTTTTGGCTATTTTGGCTACATGTTTTTTACGGCTTTGGCTATATTTGGGCTATACTCCCCAGCGATTTGTCGGTTTTTGTGGGGCCATCTGGCAACACTGCAAACGACCCCTCTTGGGAAGCGCTAACACTGACTTCGTTACAAGGCCAAAAAGAGTAAGCAACAATAAAAGACAAAAGAAAAACTCGAAGTGGTCAGCGTTAGCGTTTCCCAAAGGGGGACGTGTGTGGCATTTCCAAGGGTCATGCTAACGCATTCCTTTTAAAAATCCACCAATGTATATTCCTCCAATTTGTTTGAAGGCCTGACACAGCGTACCTCTTGAGTGCCCTAACTTTTCTCGCCCTTAACATGGACTATGAAAAATTATGTTCCCTATGCTAACCGGCGGCCTGCTCAACAATTAAATGCACGCCGCGCAGCTAGACAAGGCCCTAAAGGGTCTGGCGTAAAAGTGTTAGTTACGGTGTGTTTAGTGTAGCCAACATCTCCAGTCAACTCCCCGACAGCACTGAATGTCCTGAATGTCAGTTTTCTATTTCTCTCGCGCACATCGAATGAAAATGGCAGCGCTCTACTGGTTTTGCATTAAGAACTGGCCGACACGGTTTGTTCGACGACTGCAAGGGCACGCGAGCAACAAAAACAATTTTGAGTAACCCATAATTTCAACTCTGCATCAAAGGGCAACTCCGGCCAAAACTCCAAATGAAATAAATTACTGGTATCACTGTAGTGACACAAAATACGACCCCAGCTAAAATATTACGTCCGTGGGACGCCGCATTCTCAACTAATGCCGATAATAAAAATGCGACCCGCCGCGAGCCGCTGCTTCTTAGCGGGCGGCCAGCGGGTTGCCGATCGCTAAAGCAACATTGGGCCGTGACGTCAGTATCGTTCTTTTTTTTTCTTCCTGTCCTGGCATTGCGCGGAGTGCGCTTCTTTGAGCCGCTACCACCGCTACTTTGGCTTGTGATTGGCGTGTTTAGCCGTTGCTTTTATCTGTAGCCCGTTTAGCATCGGTTTAGCCTTTTATTTATTTGCTTGTGAGGACTTTAAGACTTGTTTCAGCGAGCAACTCGGTGCGCCCAAGACTGCCCAGCTGTTCCTCGAAAGATGCCGAGTGCAACTTGTAGCGCTGTGGGCTGCTCAAACAACCCGCTGCGCAACACGGAGGTGCTTTTTCACAAGTTTCCAACGGACCGGAAATTCGAGAAGGTGTGGGTGAATGCTGTTCGACCAGTGGACTTCGGACTTGGGCTTTTACGCGCCCAAAAAAAAAAAAAAAAAAAGAAAAAAAAAAAACAGACGTGTACCGCCCAGCGCATTCGTGTCGGGGACTGACCCGCAGCGCGAAAGCGAGAGGGCCTCCAGTTCTCCACGTCACTAGCAGCGCCGCTTACCCATACAAAAAATGTCCTATGGTCGGCTATAGAAAATCCTTTGTATGGTCGGCTTTAGCTATTTGACCCAATTAGCTAAAGCATTTTTAATGGCTGTCTTTAGCATTTTTTATGGTCGGCTTTGTGGTTTTTTTAGCTTTCTCTATGGCCCTATTGCTGTCCGGCCATAGCGCTCTAGTTTTTTCTAAGGGTTGGCTAAAGACTACTCTATGGCTTTCCCTACGGCTCTCTTTAGCCAGCAAACCCTAAAAAAAATTTAAAAAAAAATTACTTCAAGTTGCACGGATTTGTGAACGCTACAAGGTGTATGTACACCTTTCAACACACCTAACACAAAGAGAACACTTCCCCACACAAAGCAGCAGCGCAGATTTACAAACGCTGCGTTCGTTGTAGCTGTATATATGGCAGTCTAATTTTTGAATCCGACTTTGTCGGTGACCCATCATTTGTCGCAAAAACATGGAGAGGCGGAGCAAATATTACTCGTACTTAATACATTATTTGAATTGACTCTTGGAATAGCCTCCATCTCTTAATTTAAAACCCTGAAAAAAAAAGCAAATGAAGATCATTAGGCTGATTAACTAAAATTTATTAATGATCTTTTTAATAAGTTTGATGAATCACGTGGACAATGCAGTGATGACATGCAGTATACTGGTACTGAAGATTGCAATCAATATATTGCTTGATTGCAGTATTCGGCGCCATTGTAAGTTATTTACATTTTTGGGGGGTAATAATTAATTTTAATTGTTGCACAAGTATTTTAATTGATTTTCAGAAAAACAATAATACTGGTTTTCATGACTCGTTGCAACAACAGAGAACATATCTTGGGTCATGGTTTGTCACCGGCCTGACAGAAATTTAGTATTGATTTAATTTTCTAACGTGGAGTGTTTTTACTAAAAAAAAAGTAAGCGCCGGTAGTGATTTTCTGTAGGCGTGGAAAGAAAATTTATTTGCTCTTAGTGCTCTTGACTCGGGGCCATAAATTTTTCTATAGACGGATAACGACAATTATTGGATTCCAGTCTTTAAACTCGGGGCGAAGAATTTTTCTGTAGAGGGGAAAAGAAAATTTTTGGTTCGCTGTCTTTATGCACGGGGCCATATAATTTTCTATAGGCGTCAAAGAAATTGTATTGGTTCCCAGTCCTTAGACTTAGGGCCATAAAATTTTCTATAGACGGTTAAAGACAATTTATTGGTTCCAAGTCTTTAGGCTTGTGGCCAAAGAATTTTCTATAGGCGGGTAAAGAAAATTTATTGGTTCCCAGTCTTTAGACGCAGAGCCATAGATTTTTCTAAAGCTGGCTGTAGCTGTCTTTATGGATTTCTATAACCGACCATAGAGGGCCATAAGGGGTGATAGCCTGCCATATAATTTTCCATAGACGACCATAGACCATGTCTGTATGGGTAAAGAAACGCCGCTCCATCCACGGGGCCCTGATGACAATTTAGGCCTAGCGACGAGTACGGAAGACCACACACACGGCGACAGCCGCCGAGTACGGTGCCAAACGAGTTCACTCGTTTTCCAGTAGCTAGTTTTTGGGCATACAAGCGACGAGTATGGCATAGCGCACGCACGGCGGCGGTCGCCAAGTACGGCACCGTACGAGTTCACGGGTTTTCCAGTTGCGAGCTTTTGGGTGTACGCACTAACTCTTGCTACATATGCTGGATGACTACCACGTATACAAAATTAAAACAAAATAAGCTTACCTCCTATCTTTAGACGGCTAACGCAACAGAGATAGGTGCCGCTCGGCCTGCGTACTCGTTAAACGTGAACGATCCTGACGTCACGTTCACATAGCGGCTGATTTCCAGTGTTGCCGGGGCCTCGAGCGGCTAATTTCGGTTTCATTGGCCGCGCCCCAAACAAAACTTTGAGGCGTCGATATCTTTCAAACTATGCACAATAACGAGAAAAAATTCAGGGACGCTGACTGCACTAAAAACAATCATAATCCCAAAGTCGAAAGTATGGACCGGAGTTGCCCTTTAAGATATGCAACGAGAATATAGATGTATATAACATACGAAACTAACAACGCATCATAACCATGAATATCATACCTTCTTCAACGCTTTGATTCAGCAGAATAGGATTTCCCTGCCATCCTTTCAGCTCTCCTTTGCTACTGAATTGTAGCTTCAGATAACCCAAATATTTTCCAAACCAGTAGTCTTGTGTCACGAGGGCTACTTTTTCATTCCTTTTTACGACGGTCGGATAATCCCCCTCTATAGTCTCTCCTCCGGGGCCTTTTTTATCTGAATACAAGTTACGTATAAATAATATTAGTAGAACCATCATTCCAGTCAATTGCAAAAATAGATCTAATCTTGCTCCCTATTCAGAAAAGAGATTCATAAACAATTGAAGCACAGTCTAACACGTTTCACTTAGAGCCGGAGATATTTATGGAATATAATACATGTCTAATCATATTTTGCAGCAGTAAAATAAGCATTTAAAATACTATATTTACAGATTTACAGATTAAAAAATACACAATTTAAAGCTCATGTAAGAACTATATTTTAACTTTAACTAGGTAACTTTAGATCAGAGCAAACAAAGGATGGCCTGCCGATGCTGTCATTGTGCCATATATTATTACTAATCACAAGTGACAAAAGGGAGGAAAACTGAAAGAAAGTATAAGTTTAATCTGGAGAACTAGTGTAAGAAAAAAAAGAATACCATAATTTGATTCGCGTGCGTTCAAGTCGGCCTAACAACCTGATCCAACATTAGCGTAATATTGCTACGGGAATGAGTTGACAGAGACACCGCGCTAGGGTTGCTTTTATAGAGGCTCTATGTTTAAGAATCATCGTAACCAAAGCAAAAAAAAAAAAAAACACAAAAAATGTCGATAATGAACTTGGACACTCCTGAAAAGTAACGAATTGTAAAAGGAAACACTGCGGTGGCGGGCTAACACCACGCCTCCGCGTCTATGCCGCGTGAACTGCCATCCCACTGATCTCTATGGCTATTTGCTGGATCGTGTTTACCCGCTCCGCAAATGCAGCCACTGGCGGCCATCCTTTTGGTAGAGTGATATTACCTCTAGCCAATGTACAGCTGGTGCAACCACTATTATTCATTCATGGCAGACAGCGTTGTGGCACCTGTGGTGGCAGGGTGGCAGGCTGCCATAAATATAGCTGTGGTAATATTTCGTTCTTGGTTGAAATTGTTCAACGAAACATATTGTTGAAACCCGGCATGAACGGTAACCCGATCTTTGAGGGCCCGGTGAAAGTTTCACGAAATCGCAGCACCGGGGAAAAGGAGCACAGCACGCACCAAAAGTCGCATCGAAAGAAGCATCGAAAGCAGACGCCGGTACGGCGTCTGCTTTCGATGCGAGCTGCCCTGCTTTCACCCGGTGCTACGCTTTCGTACAACTTTCACGGTGTTCTCAAAGATGGGGCTACCGTTTACGCCGGGTTTCAAGAATCTGCTTCGTCGAACAAGTTCAATCAAGCACGAAATATCACCAGTGGTACAGTGTACTAGACCCACGGCTATTGTTATGGCAGCCTGCCGCCATAGTGCTGTCCGCGATATTACTATGATGGCTAGAGATAATATAACTTTACCCAAAAAAAATGGCCGACCATGACCGTATACCCGTCCATAGGCGGAGCTGGTAAATCGCGATCCAGCAAATATACATAGAGATCAGTGTGCCGTCCCCACCAAACACGTGGAATGTTTTGTATATATTGCATGATGGTGACGGCAAAAAAACTGCGCCTTTCAAATGTGACCAGTCGCATATATTATGAGAGGTTATCTTTTGCACGACTCATGGTAGTCCTGCAAGGCAGTTTGAGTATCTGGTGTTTCCACGTCAGTTCACACACTGATAGTGAAGGCCATATTTTTTATATGTATTAAAAAATATATATGGTGAAACCCTCGTTCTAGGGAGAGCATTCATCTGTACATATGAACGCCGTAGCAAATCTTCTTCTAGAGGTACACATTTCTTAATCTCGAGGCGTGGAGATTGCCAAGTTGTCACTATGGTACTTTGCACTATGAAGGCCAATCATGTCGTCGTCGCAGTTTTTAAGCACTGTCAGTTCAGCTCAACACCACGCTACAAAAAACATGTCCGGGTTCTGCCGGTGCTAACTCAATTTTACAGTAAAAATAAGAATTGCATGCAAAAAAGAACAGGACGAAACACTTCATACGATGGAATAAATTGCGAACATAGCAGTGATCTCACTTTTCTCCGTTAGGGCTATCTGCTTCGTCAGCGAATGAAGAACATTTTGATAAAAGAAAGGGTGGGAAATACCACCCGTGTCACGTTTTCTAATCACAATCACTGCTTGATGTTGTCCCGCAATATTGTCCGGGCCTTCGAACGTATTAGCACTTCGTAGAGCACATTTCCGGGGACGCCGCGCTGCACACGAACGGAGGGAAACAATCAAGATGGCAGAGTGTTCCCCGAGTTGTCTCCGCCGTCAGCGCGGTTTTACATGGTGTTCTTTGACTGTCGCGCTAAAATTGGCGAACACGGTTGCTGGCGACAAAAACATGCTTCCCGACAGTTTCTGCTGCCTCATTGTAACAGGGTCGCCGAAAACTTGTTTCCCTCGTGATGATGGACAGAGTTGCCCAACCGTTTCCTCAATATGATAGCGCCTTTAGCGTTCCAAGCTTGCGCAAACAAAATTTAATTGATTAGAAATTGTAGGAAAAAATTTATATCCACCCGACGTGTTTAGGTTTCTGGCATGGTTGCTCCATTTTGACATATGCGAGTTGTTACGTCGTGTCAAGATTGTCTTTTTATTGCTTGTGAGCAGGCTTATCCCTGCAGTTTATTTGTACCCAGTCATACAGGCTATCAGCCAAAATGAAAGGACATTTAGAAAACGGTCGATTCCTTAAAAAAGTCTATTTAGTTCTTACTTCATCATAGGCTAAACAATCCTGAGCACTACCAAGCTCCGTTTCCCACCGGTATACTCGATGCCGTTTTACGGTGGGACATCGAGCCGACGGTCCGTCGAAGTTTCGTGCTCTTTTCCATTGAACTTGTGTCCATGTTCATTGAGCCATCCGACCAGCCGGAGTGATCGAGCAGTAATGTCGTTGATTTCTCCTGCGGCCGCAGTGGGACCACCGCGTGAACGACTCGAACGTACCAGCAGACGACGAAGCGACTCTAAAGCGATAAGGCGATTACAACAGATTTTTTGTGCTTGCTGACAAACAATCACAAACGGTACAACCTTATGAAATATACATATGACAGGAGAATTCAAGCCGGTGCCTAAATGACGACGCACGATAATGTACATGCACCGCAGCCCTGTGCAACCGGGAAGACGAAAGCGATGACTACAAGTAGTGTGGCGTTGGAAACACTTCAGGATTGCGCGCGCCTGCACAGTTCCCTTAGTGAGATCGGTCTATTGAGTGACTTTTCAGAACACCATTAAATGATGTACGTACAGTACGTGATATCTTTTTTAACTAAGTTGGCCTAGTTGATTCTTACGATGCCACGAATGTTTTAATTGAATTCATATGTTTTAACCTTACTAATTATAATGTTAATTGCTCGAAAGTACTAAATAAGGTAATTATATTAAATTTTATTTATTTTCCTAGATAGGCTCAGGGGCAGACACCGATACGACATCAACCAGTTTTTCTGTGCGATGTGTACGCTTTCCATGAAGGATTTGACTCGTGTTTTGTGAAACACCGTGTGTATACGTATCAAGAAAAACAACGTTAGTAACTCAAATACTTTATTTAAAGTGATGCAAATATATTGGTCTTACCTGTTCCGTTGTACAGAAATGTGTTAGTATGACCACCCACAATAAAATGCAACTCTTCCACTTCTTCGGCAATTTGCTTATCCTTCTGGTAACCAACGTGACTTATAAGAGCGAAGATTTTAACGTGTTGCTTCTTTAAATTCTGTATTTCTTTTTTAACACTTTGAATCTCGTCCAAAATTTCAATATTACCTGAAACGTTGTGGATTTCAGATTAAGCACAAGACACGCTAATAAAATAATTAGTCAAACTTACTGATAGCTCTGAAGTAAATCAAACCTAAAAATAATAAATTTTAGGAAATTCACTATTTGACGTTATTCCCCGAAATATTGTTTTATATTCCGAAAATCCATAAGATTGAAGTCCGTTTACCTATTCGCTGCGAGAAGTTTTGGGGACTGCCATCTGGTGGAAGGCCGGCACAATCCAAAGTGAGGACCACCCCAAAGACGACGCCGCTTCTCACAGCTGAATCGGTCTTCGTTCAGCCTCGCTATCTCAATATACTTAGTTTCAGCTTAAGTCAACAGACTCAGCCGACGCTACGAGCTAATGGGACATATGGAACAGATCGATAACTAACGATTCAGTGACACGGACTGAAGACCGTAATGACTGATTTCAAAGGCTAAAATGGGCAAAACAAACAAACAACGACACTAAAGGCACAAAGACGAGAGGACGGGCGCTTACTCACAACTGATTCTATTAGAAAAAACATTGTCAGTTATATACACAAAACCGTTTGCCACACCCGCAATATAACCAATCACCACCCTCACAGGCAGCTATCTAAAAAAGTTACTTCTTTCTGAAGCAGAAAAAGGGAAAGCTTACTAACACCGTTGCCATCTTTGCTTTTGATGTAAAAAAGCATCTATAATCTCTCTCTCGGTTTTATCTTTTGCTTTTTTTAAAAAAAACTTTGTTGCAGCCAAACGAGGCTTACAGGGGGTCAGCAAGATGTCTCCCTGCGTTTCGCGCAAAGCAAGATTATGTTACCTTCAAACTCTTGTCATATCGTTAATGACTGTATAATTTAAAGAAGGAGGGGGCGCGTTTTTTTTATTTTTTATTTCTGACCTACAAGTAAAGAGCGCATTTTCTGGTCTAGTTATAATTACTGTCAATAAAATAAAACAAACCGTAGGATCATAGTGAGTATCTTGGGACGTTGCATCACATGTTTTCCTGGAAATCATGAGCGTCTAGAATACCTAAATAACACTCGTATTATTGAAAATAAATGTTCAACAGCGCAGATTTTAATGCACGAAAAAAAGTATCTCAATGACGTATACAAGTAGGCAAAAGAGTGAAACGTCCCGCATAAATAACTTCTTTCTTCTTCTCCATCACCACACTGCACCGCAGCTCCTGCACCATAAAAAACGAGACATGCTCCAATCTGGGATCCTCGGAGACCGGTTTGTTGAACAGACAGTGGAGCATCCTATCGTTTTGGACAACATAAAAAAGCCGGTTCATTCTTTCAACTTTGCAACGTGACAGGTGACACGGAGGGCACGGCAAAAAGAAATTCAAGTGAGGTAAAGGAATAGACTGATTATCCTTTTATACGATGACCCCAACCAGTGAAGTTCGTACCAAGGACGAAACAAAGACAATCGCGTAGAAAAACAAAACACACTACCAAACAGAACACGATTCGTCGTGAAAGCATCTGCGATGTGGTTCGAGCACACCACTGCACTCGCCCACAACTGTTTGCGCTGTTTGAATCTAAACTCTACTTCCCCAGCTGTTTTTTTTTTTTTTTTTTTCTTGGATATAGATGGAAACTTTCACCTTTTTCAATCGTGTATGTCGTGCGACCGGTAACCTAACAATAACAAGCCTTCGCGACGCGTACAAAAGCAAGCGATCGCGAAGTTCCGCTATGGCGCGCACGCGATGTAAACAAACCCGGCATCCTCACATTCCGGGTATCGCTTGACATTCGCGTGCTGCTCGGTGGTGCTCCTAGCGTACTTCTGGCCGCGAATAACTGCTTCAGCATTCACCTTTTAGCAGCTCGACTTTCTTGCTGGCTAATGCATTGCAGTGACATGACTTCATAATACTTTACGCAGGTGTTGGAATTTATATAGATTGAAAAATGTTTTGGTCATCGCTGAAGAAATCCGTGTATATGTAATATCTTATAGATTCGTCGCGTAGCATGATCACGTCACGTTACATCCCGCTATGTTCAACAGGACGTTAAGTTCCTTAAAAGGGAACTGTAGTCAATATATTTTTTTTATTTTTTTTATTTTTTTGGTGGGGGATTCTGACGGTTTTTAGCTAAAGCAATGTCTCTGAATTACAAGATTCTTTTTCGATATTGTCCGTAGATTTATAAAAATCACGCTGAAAGTTTGGTTTCAGAGGTCTACGACAGAATCAGAACTATCTGCTAGAGAGATGACAATACTGATCATCAGCCTTACGGCCACGACATGACGTCACTCTCGTGTTGCGGTACGCGGTACAACCAACGTTATTAGATTACCTCAGTTGTGGAACTCCCGCGGAGGAGGGTACCCCCGTCACTCACCCCAACCCGCCAAGCGTCGATCGAAGTGCCATCTACATTTTCGTTTCATAACCATTCGTTTCCAAGACCCCGGCTCAAGCGCCAAATGGCGATCACAACGCCGCCATTTACCCTGCAGCGGTCACTCGAGGAACTGCACCTAACATCTATTTTGGCTTTAATCGGCCATTTCGGAGCCGAAACAGATACAGTGGAAAGAGGTCACAGGGATGCCACCCCCTTGACCCCAGCGGGCGCGCCGCGAAATCGCCCTGAAGTTAAGATGAGCCTAGGTCGGGACGTGCTACCTGAAATGGCCGCTGAGTCATGGTTGTATGAAAACAATATTAATTGTACTGCAAAACCTTGCAATCTAAAGATTTTAGAAAACATCACGCGCCCCCCATTTTGTACTAAACTCCAATAAAAGTTACTACGAAAAGAGTTTTTTTTTTTCCGTTGGTTTTTCCGTTTTTAGTAACGTTGAAACGTACGTATCCTGATTCAGTTACCTAAGCAGCCGTCCGGCGGCGCGTCGAGCGACGCTTGGCGAGTCGTGGTTCGTGCATGCGGCGCCTATGAGCAGTTCCGTAACTGAGCTAATTTAATAACGTTGGGTACAACCAATCGACCACAGCCCCACTGCGCTGTGACGTCACATGCGTGTTGCGCCAGTGTTTCTTGACTAAAGGTTAACCCGGTTGTCGCCCGCTAAATAGCAGCTGGTCGCATCTTTAAGATTGGTTCAGTGAAGTACGCGCCTTAACTTTCACGTAATATTTCGGCGGTGATCATATTTCGTGCCACTAACACGATACCAGTCATTTATTGTGGTTTCGTCTCCGACCGGAGGTGCCCTTTACATTCGGCGTGGAATGTCTCGCCCGCAATATTTAGTGGATTACTTCACTTCCGTGTCGATTTTTGTTTATACTATCTTTGTTAAAAGTTTGTGCTGATAACGTGTTATATGTTTAAAGTAAGAAAGGCCGAGACGAGTTTCCTGCGTATTTATTTAAAGTGTCTGGCAAAAAACACTTCATGTTGATTTTTGTTTGTTGCGAAAAAATATAAGACGCATCGCCGAATGCTCAGTCTCCACCTAAAAGCAGCGCTAGCGGTCCAGCTAGATGACAGACTTTCATAGTTTGCTGTTTTTTTATAAAAAAGATAGAAGCAATTTTCAATCTTTTTTTGTGTGAAAATAGCGGCTGACGAACGATGCCTATAAATACATGGAGAACAACGGCGACGGCTACCAAGAACGGGCTCCCTTTTGTAATCAATATTTTAATTGCCTATCACTTCTAGTTTAAAATGCAGCCAAGTAATGCATTTTAGCACCTGGCCTAGGTGGCTTATGCTACATTGGGGGGGGGGGGGGGGGGGGGAAGAGAGAAAGAGCATTCGGGTAATGCGTAGTCTACTTTTTCGAAGGCAAAAAGAGTTTCCCTAGACACCCTATAGTAATGAGTAGCACTTTAAATTACAGGGCTTGTATATGTGTTCAAAGTATCCTACACACTGAATGAATAGCCTCATTTGTACGAAAAAATAACGCATGTTTTGCGTCCAGCATAACACGCGAATCGACTATCACTAAGATATACAGGTTAGGTCTATTGAATAAAAATATCTCGAAAATATGTGTTTATCAAAATGTGATCACTGCTAAATATTTAGCTTGCATGAGTGACAACCTGTAATTTTGTAAAAGAAACCACTTAATATTTAATCAGGAGAACTTGAGCTTATAATAAAGTAGTATGTAGCGTCGTAATTGCGGTGAGAAGACGGATAACTCGTTATTTTGTGAGTGACAATATCTAGATGCCTTCGCCTCATTTTATACCGGCCACACAATACAGAATATTTCCCACTAGAACAAACGGCAGCATACCCGGTGGAATTCACAATTTTAGTATATTTATTCAAAGCATAAAAACACAAAGCCGAGGGCTGGGATCAAACCCTCTTTGTCCACGTAGGGTCAGACACAAAATATTCTCGGTCACACACTCACTTAGCAACCCTACTTGCCACAAGGTCAAAAATATTCACATGGCACGGCAGATACGCGCATATGTAACAATAATATGTAGCCTTGATATCAATATGAAGAAAATCATATCTAATTTAATTCTTGAGTGTGTTTAATCATAGCGAATGTATGATGAGGTTACAATGCTTTCAAATAACTTCCGGACTTGAAACAGTTCAACTATTAGTTTCTTGAATTTAACACAGTTTTGACTTGTACATTGGGCAACATCCCCTTTCTACACTGTGTGTCATGTGATCAAGAACATTATTTTGTTAGTCTAATACGCGATGTTCATCTACTTTTAATATGTGTCTATTATGTACAGTCGTAGACAAACTGCATGTGTTAGTGAGAATTGCTCGTCTTTATATTTGTATTTTAGAAACGATGCTTCTACTTTTGCAGTAATCGTGGGACTCCTTATTATACAAATGAGACATTACACAAAAAATTTATCAAATGTGAAATTGCTAATATCAGAAGAAAAAAGTACGAACCTGGTTTAGCAATTGTTAATGTTTCCGTCGTGACGACACCCATTACTCCCATCTTCACGCCATTAATATCGTACACTACTGATTTCAGTACTTCAATTCCATTTAATTTTGGTTCATCCTTTGTCTCAAGGTTTGTTCCCAAAACAGTCACATTAGCGCTTTTCATTCTTTTGAGAAAGGGAGCGAGACCTTCAGGTCCATCGTCGAACTCGTGGTTCCCCAAGCACTGCAGAGATGACAAAGTAGGTTTTGGCGGTAGTGAGACACTCGTCAGTCTAAAGAAAAGTAAAAGGTACACATGGTTAGAGAACTAATATGTTAATGAAACCTTACAATACACCTGGCGTGTGGGCTCCATGTGTGAAAAAAATAAGCAATGCTCAAAGTAGTCACTGAATACATGATTGCAATATTTTTTTTATAATGTGCGCTTTAATTTTCCGGTATAGAAACTGTGAAGTTGAAACTCTGAGGTTTCATTTTAACAGGCTTTGAAAACCTCTAAATTTAAGCAGATAAGGTTTCACAAAAATAGTGTGATCGTGATAATTCAGGCAAAAAATGGCGCACGTGGCCTTTCACATTACGATTCATCGCACCGATCCCTCGATTCTGATTGGTTATCCTTATTAAAAATTAAATACGTGGCCTCCACGTCACTCACTTCGGTCCTCTTAGTTGGAAGCAGAAGTGATCCGTTAATGATTTGGAAGCAAGGTTGCCAAGGGAACAAATTATTAGCATATGTCTCACCAAAAGCTGTGTCGATGCCAGAACAGTATGCCGAACTTTTGAACGAGATAAATATTGTGTCAAGCCTTCAGTTTAGTTTTCTAGCCCTTCCAAAAAAAAAAAGCTATGTTAGGTTAGGTTAGGCTAGATTAGGTTATAACGGAGAGGTCTACGTTATAAGATATAAAAGATGACTAAATTTAAGGAAAGAGAAGCCCATGTTTGCATTTTACAAGTCAATTTACACTTTTCAGTGCTTATTGCGAGAGTCGCTTAGCCATCTTGTTTAATTCATTAAACTGCAGAATAATGCCTAACGTTAAAGGAGTTGTGACTATATAAGGAGTTCCAGCCGATTCAACTTTTTGAAGAGCTTTACGCCATCTGGTGGCTGAAATGGGGGCTTAAGGTTTGCCTTACTAATGATGGTAAGAAAAGTAGGAATTAATTATTGCTTTATATACAAGGCAGCCTCCATTTTGTATGTCATCAGAAGACAGTAACTTCAATGTTAAATTTATGTTCGATTCATTTCAGTGTAAATGTTCACATAAACGTGCAGCTGGTGTGCGTAGTCTACGCATAGTATGCTGAATTTAATGTGACCAATAGATAGGTTTGACCTGATTTCAACGATATACAAATTCTCAATATATATATACAGGGGGTTTCAGAAAACGCAGGCCAAATCGTTCCTGCGAAAACTACTCATAGCAACGAAAAAAGGCGTGTGGCGTTGTGGTCCTGGGCCAGGGCCCATTTAAGAAAATTATTAATGTCCGGGATAATTAACGTTTTAATTATTTTTTCCTAATAAACTTTTATAATATTCTGTTTAAGGGCATGGTTTAAATTACAAAATTGCTCAGCATCATCGAAAACCACTAAACCAACAAATTGCAGAATGATAGAAGGCACGCGAAGCATTTTACGGCTTTCTAAAAAAAAACGCACAAATTCGACGGGTGTTTAAGTTTCGGTTCGTTATCGGAGCGCATCTCCACCCCAAAGGCACCGCGCCCCGCGAAGAGATAGTGCAACCAACCTCTGCTGCGCTGTCATTGCGCGACGCAGTAGTCTAGTTGCACTATCTCTCCACGGGGCGCGATGCTGCCGGTTTCGCCTTTGCCTGACGATATTTAATCTTTCGATCAATCTCTTAAATATTAATAAACGCAACTTTTAAGATTTATTGTTTTCTTGAGCCCGTGCCTTCATAGTCATGAACGCATGTTTGCAGTGCTGTTTCATCCGCATGTTGAATAGCAGCGCATGCTTCGGCTTTCACACCTCTATTGCATGCGCTTCGTGGGCCTAAGTTTTTTTGCTTCCCATTGTCGCAGCGCCCTGTAGTATCGGCGCAGGCCAGATTGGAGGCTACATGCGAACATTGTCTGTCCGCGTTCCTCTTAATAATAGCGGCAAGTGGCATCCCCTAGATCTATTTCTTGAATGTTCACACTTTGGTCTGAACTCAGCTTCGACTCAGCGCTCATGTATAATTGTTGTGTCTAGGTCCGCTGTAGAGTGAAATTCGTGGGCCTTGGGATATTCGTGTGAGCACATATCTTTAACTCTCCCATTTCCTTTCTCATTAACCAGGAAGTATCAGGAGACCTCAATCAGCAGCCATTGCCCGCTTTGTGGGTGAGAAAACACCAACCTAAAAAGTCAGGCTAAGTCCAACCTATATTTGTCTTTAGAAGGAGACCCGATACGTTACCTGGTTTGTAGGACTCTTTATAGTACACTGGCCAATGTCGGTGTGCATGCACTTGCGTGAAGGTGCACATGCCTCGTCCTCGTTTTTATTTTACAACTTGCCGGACCGGCATTGGTGTCACTTCTACTTTTAGAACGGCAAGCCGCTGCACAGGCCTTTCAATTTGCCACCAGTCAGAAAGGGCTATTCTACGAACTCGCACTATGCTATCTCTGTCGGGAAATAAGGCAGTAACGCTTCCCAGTTTCATATCCGCGGCGGCAAGTCGTTTTCCACGACGACTCTATCTCCTTGCTGTATCCGATATGATGATATTTGCTGGTTGTTGTGGACGTAACATAGAAACAATTAGTATTCTTTTCTAGTGTTTCCATATTCGTATCAACAGTAACTAGATACCGTGCACGGCGCCTTAAGTCCGTGGCAGTTGAAGTTTGCTGCAACGATTCTTGGCGAGGTACGTTTACAACTCGCTTGACTTAGCAAAAATGTGAGGGTGTTGATGGATCACGTTCTCAGGGCTCACCAGTCACTACTGGTGTGGGTAAGTGAAGGACACTTCATGGCGGCTCCGACTTCCTACAGTACGGTAGTAAGCTCTTCTAGCATTGCGATGACATTTCGCAGTTCGCCAAAACGTGGCAATGACAACCGCTTCTAAAAACTACTCAAACAGATTGGCCAAAGTGCAGGCTACTTCCCCACAAAACAGCAGTATCTTGAAGGTGCTTTTGACAGGACATAGTGCAGAACTTAGTGGAAGTTTTGATATGGCGGCCGCTACATCAAAAGGAGAGGCAACAATTAGTTCCATATGGCGCAGAATACCTAATCAAATAGTGTTTTAGGTATGGGGAAAGGTTTATTAGGTGAGTCCAGAGCAAGCAAAAATTAAATTTGTTACATAACTGCTGGGACGCAGGTTATGAAATATCCAAGAAATAATGTCCTTTGTTGTTATGTAATTAATTGCCAAAATTGCTTAGGTTTGGTTTTCAAGAGATTATTTAAGTGAAAGTTTAAAACAAAAACCTTGAATTCCTTGTTCACCCTTGCACACTGTTGTAATTATGCCAAACACTTCGGGTGTAAGACTGATTTCTCGATGAAAAAGCGATTTCTTCTTGTTGAAGAGCTTACAAGAAGTGTGTTAAATGAAGACTGCTCTTTCGATGTTCCGATAGCTGCTTTCAAGACGTACTTACTAAGTTAATTTATTAGAGTGTCCTTAAGCAGATACTAGTTTTGTGCACGGTACAGAAGCCCTTAAGCTGCTTGTTTGCGCCGCTAAGATAGAACACTCTAGAACACTTTAGCTGCGCGCTCCGTAGGCGCGTTGTGTGCGTTGGGCGTCACTGCGTGCGCGAGTAAAGTCGAACGAGCGATGGCAGGGGTTCACCGGTTTTACGGACACTACTGTGCGGACGACGTCTGCCAAAATAAAACGAAGAAGGCGGAATACAGTTGATTTCTTATCTCGACGGACGACGGGCAAGCCAGAAGTAAATAGCGTGTTTTATGTTTCTTAGTGCGGGTTGTTAACTTGCGTTTGCGTGCTCTTTGTGACATTCAACTTTTCGAATTTTAGGTGTTAATAATTTGCCTCAGGTGTAAATAATCTATGCATATCTATATATTCATCGCTAGCTTCCCGTGATCTGACTCAGAGCAATTTGTCCAATGTCTTGGTCTTTTTTTTTTCAATTACCCTGACAGGTGATTTAATGAATATAATCTGACTAAACTGTGTCAAATAAAAGGTATTTCGATCCCCCTTGATTTTAATTTTATTAATTTAATTCGGCAAAGTGATGAGTATTATTATTGTTTATGGTCTGCGTTGTCTTCGCAATTTGACTCGCAGCTTTCGTGATTTCGCTAAGATATGAGTTGCCGGTGTCCCTGACGTCTTTGCTACTGGGTATGTCTTGCCATTGCTTCACGTCTGGAGCAGGCACGGGAGTTTTGTCGAGGCTTCGGCTGTGCGTCTGCTGAGATCATTGGGTTTGAAATCAGAGACAATCTTTCGCTTTATAAACATTCCTACAATAAAATTTGACTTTGAGACAGATCGTCCTAATTTCATTTCTTCTTCGGCAGACAAGGGAGCCAAAGCGATAAGCGCTGCACAGCACATATTTCTGTTACCAAAGGCGAAGCCGTGATCTTACGCTCTAAACGGAGCAACGTACACTGTAGTTTTATTGTCGCCGACTCGCTCGTTTCCAAAACAGTCGACAGCAAATAAATCACTGCTTGCGCCTTTTTGTTTCTACCTTTACGCGTCAAAAAGGCAACAAAATTAAAAAAAAAACGTGAATGAGCGTTTTGTAAACACACGCAAGTGATTTAGTGACGCCGCCTCATGGCGTCAGTTTGATGTCGTTTCTAAAAGCAGAACATGCGACATCCGCTCTACCGTAAAAGAACTTCGACAGGCGGCCAGCAACGTAGTGTGTATAGGTATGCACGACGTCGGAGAATGAAGACACAAAAGGGCAAAAATGGCAGACGGAGGTGGCGAACCGAAACGAGACGGACGCTCGGGAAATCAGTGATGGTGGCAAGGGCATTTTGAAGAGGAGGAGGGGGATTTTCGTAGGGAGTGTGCCGGGGGATCAATCGATGGCGCTGCTTGGGGCTTCAGTAATCGGTGTTGTTCCAATGCCACCAGACTTGATATAATCGCGGATAGGAAACTGTAGACATATGCAGGACAGAAAATGCATGTTTAAATAGGCCGTGCAATGATATTGGGTAGGGATGTTTCT